ACCACATATGTATAATATGTATATGTATAATAGACCATGGCTGGTTTTATCATGGCTGGGCATGGGGCCTCACACCTGTAATCCCAGCACTTTGGGAGGCTGAAATGCGCAGATCACTTGAGCCCTGGAGTTTGAGACAAACCTGGGCAACATAGCCAGACCTCGTCCCTACCAAAAATGCAAAAAGGTAGCCAAGGACAGTGGCAAGTGCCTGTAGTTCTAGCTACTTGGGAGGGTTAGCTGGGAGGATCAGATGATCCCGGAGAGCTTTTAAATGATGTTAAAGGCTGCATACAGTGAGCCATGATCAAGCCACTGCACTCCAGCCACCGTGACATAGTGAGACACTGCCTCCAAAAGAAAAAGAATAGAAAACAAAAAAAGAACAATTTTAAAAGAACAAACTTCAATTTAGAAGAGCAATTCCCTTATTTGTTTAGAAAATGTTTCTCTTGAGGGTTGGAGAATTACCTATTGGGTACAATGTTCACTATTTTGGAAGTGAGTATACTAAAAGCCCAGACTTCACCACTGCCCGATATATCCATGTTAAAAAACTGCGCTTGTACCCTCAAATTCTTTAAAAACAAATTTTCCTGACATGATACGCATTTACCCTTCCATATGAACCTTAGAAACACGCTAAATTTGAATAGATTGCGGGAGAGATTTGTGGCTAGACATTTAGGGTTGGCTTTCTCATTTAGGAACACTGTCATGTTCTTCCAAGTGAACTTTCTTTTATAACCTTCTCTTTATATTTTTTATAGTTTTATTCTTATGTTTTTGGCATCTTTCTGTTTTTTAACAACCTTACTGAGATATCAGCCTTTAAATCAAACTTCTATCTGGTTATTCCTGGTATGTAGTAAAGCTACTGTATCTTCAGTATATAGGAATCTACTTGTTTTACTCTCTGTAAAAATCAAGTAGATTTTTCTGTGATTATCTTGAAAAATATTCTAGAAAGACTATTATAGCTATAATAATTGTGTCCTATTATTTTAATACCAGTCATATATCATATTGTCTGTTTCAAATAGGACTGTAGAACAATTATGAAGTCTGTATACCAGCAAGAAGTTAGTGAATATAGTAGAAAAATAATTAAATGTCACCACAGTATTCATTGACATTAGGAATAGATAGTGTATTTTTGTACAAACAACTAGAATGTGTATACCTTCAGTGTTCTCCTGGTTTTTGTAAGCAGGGTAATTAAAAAGCTATTTAACTACTTGGTTTTTCTGTTTCCTATATGCATGTGACATGACTAGAAGCCAAATTTGCCTGCTATAACAAAAACCTCTATGGGGCTTTGAGCTGCTTCTGTCCCAAGCATTGAGTATTCAAGAATAATCTTAGCTACAGTTGCCTCTTGGAAATTTAATAATATCTTTATAACAACACTTTCTTCTTTCCACCAACATAGGTACCTCCTTTTTTTTTTCTTTTCTTTTTTTTTTTTTTTTTTTGAGATGGAGTCTTGCTCCCGTCGTGCAGGCTGGAGTGCAGTGGTGCAATCTTGGCTCGCGGCAACCTCCACCTCCCAAAGTGCTAAAGGCATGAGCCACGGTGCTGTCCTGGGTAGCTCCTTTTTACTGTGTTTTACTTTGCTAGGTGACGAATATTGTTGGGCATATATTCATATGCTCATCATCTATTTCCGTATTCTCTATTATGAAGTGCCTATTCAATGTTTTTCTGCCAATTTTCTATGGGGGCAATTCTCTGTGTATGTTGTGTCATATATATTATGCCAAATATATACAATGTAAATATATATAATGTGTGTATATATGTATTATGTCAAGTATATGTAATGTAAATATTTCCTTCTGCCCTTTTGCTTGCCTTCTTTGTTTATTTATTTATTTATTTATTTTTTGAGGCAGTTTCTGTCACCCATGCTGGAGTGCAGTGGCAAGATTTGGACTTAATGCAACCTTGGCTTCCCAGATTCAAGGGATCCTCCAGCCTCAGCCTCCCAAGTAGCTGGGACTGCAGGCAGGTGTCCACACCCATCTCATTTTTGTGTTTTTTGAAGAGACAAGGTCTCACCATGTTGCCCAAGCTAGTCTCAAATTCCCGACCTCAAGTGATCCAACCACCTCCCAAAGTGCTGGGATTACATGCGTGAGCTACTGCGCCTGGCCTGCTTTTTTTTTTTTTTTTTTTACTCTGTTGCCTAGGCTGAAGTTCATGATGATAGCCTTGAACTCTCCATCTCAAGTGATCCTCCTGCTTGCCTTCTTTATTTTTTTATTATATTTTTTGGGGGGGAACAGAGTTTCTGTCGCCCATGCTGGAGCACAGTGGTGACATCTGGGCTCGCTGAAACCTCGGCTTCCCATGTTCAAGGGATCCTCCCACCTCAGCCTTTCAAGTAGCTGGGACTACAGGTACATGCCACTATGCCAGGTTTATTTTATTTTTTATGCAGACTGGGTCTCAGTATGTTGCCCAGGCTGGCCTCGAACTCTTGGCCTCAAGCAATCCTCTCACCTCTACCTTCCAAAATCTTGGCGTTACAAGCGTGAGCTGCGTCACCCAGCCTTTTTTATCTTTTCAATTAGCAGATTTGGTAAGCCATTTTAAAATGCTTTGCCCACTCGTAGGTCATGACTATGTTTTCTTCTAAAATTCTTCATTGCTTTATTTTTTGTGTTTAGATATACATTATATTCAAGTTGATCAGTGTGAGGTAGGGGTCAAGATTCATTTTCTTCCATAAACGTTGGAATAATTGGTCAGTTTACACACACACACACACCTCTGATAGGGTTTTGATTGGGATTGCATTGAATCTAGAGATCAATTTTGGGAAAACTGACATAATTATAATAATGTCTATTCCATGAATTTATACTCCTCTGCATATAGTTAGTCCTTTGTTTATTTTAATAATATTTTTAGTTTCCAGAGGTCTTACAGATTTAATTTTTTTTTTTTTTTTGAGACGGAGTCTTCCTGTCACCCAGGCTGGAGTGCAGTGGCCGGATCTCAGTTCACTGCACTCCGCCTTCTGGGTTTATGCCATTCTTCTGCCTCAGCCTCCTGAGTAGCTGGGACTACAGGCACCTGCCACCACGCCCGGCTAGTTTTTTTTTTTTTTTTTTTTTTGTGAGACAGAGTCTCACTGGGTCGCCCAGGCTGGAGTGCAGTGGCCTGATCTCAGCTCACTGCGAGCTCCACCTCCCGGATTTACGCCTTTCTCCTGCCTCAGCCTCCCGAGTAGCTGAGACTACAGGCGCCCGCCACCTCGCCCGGGTAATTTTTTGTATTTTTTAGTAGAGACGGGGTTTCACCGTGTTAGCCAGGATGGTCTCGATCTCTTGACCTCGTGATCCGCCCGTCTCGGCCTCCCAAAGTGCTGGGATTACAGGCTTGAGCCACCGCGCCCGGCCCAGACAGATTTAATATTTAAGCAGTTTATTGAACTCAAATTTGAATTTAAAGACCCCTAACCATTGTGCTTAATTTTCTATTGTACACTGATGGAAATTTGGAATATCCAGAAAAGGCACAAATATCATCAGTAAAAAGCTTTTTAGCATTTCCCATACAAAAATTTTATTAATATAAATTTGTTGTTAATTTTGACAACTTGAATATTAACCAATATAGTTTTGATACAATATATATAATTTTGTATTTGAGATTATTTGCAAGTAGTGTGTTATTATTTGGCTGTAAGAGGACATATAAATACAGAAAAAAAATTTAATGTAAATAATTGTGTCTAGGGGGAAGGTCCTAAAGCCAACTCTACTCAAGGAATGACTTGGTAGCAATGATTGTTAACCATCTGGAGTGACAGAAGAAAGTGATATTGGGTAACTAACTTCTTAAGAAGTTTCATCTCAAGTTTTGTAATATTATTATAGCAACAAAAAATTATGCTATTGGTTGCTCCATTCTGGTCACATGGATGGGCATTTTCATCATGTTCTGGTTATATGCTGATTAATGTGGTCAATCTCTGCACTTTGTAAATTTTTGATAAATGGAGGCAGTTTAAAATGGTTGGATGGTTTTATGTGGTGACAACATTTGTATAGAGTTTTTTTTTTTTTTTTTTTGTAGTTAACACTCGGACCACTAAGCAAATTTTAAATACTGTTGAAGCGTTTTTAACATCCCAATAATTGGATGCAGTATTAAATAAATAAATAAATATTTACAATTAATTTTTCTATTTTGCATTCACCAAGTCAACTAGACCACATTAGTCTTATGAATTAAAAGCATGTAATGCATCCTTCCAATAGCATGTAAAAATCACAAAAATCACAGAGGCATTCCTTTGTGTATATTAATTCTTGATAGTAAAATGAGTCACCCAAAGGAAAATCTGTGACATTCCTCAGATGGCCAAAATTCAGTTGTCAAGTTTATTTTTAATGTTGAGAGTTCTTGGTTATTTCCATCTAATTACATGAGATGGTTTTTTCGATCATCCACATTTGTTCCTTTGTGACATTCGTGGAATTTCAGTTCAGTTAAGTTTTCTACCAAGCCCTCTCTTGTCTGCTGTGCAAACTAGAACAGCAGTGAAATAAAACACAGACTGCCTTTTACTACTTCTACAAATAATAACCACATATCACAGATTTTTGTTCTGCCTGTTGTTTGTTAGTCATATAGGCTGAGGTACTTTTGTGATGAGTCTCGTGGAGAGGGAACTGTTGAGGCAGTGGAAAGTCCTATAGGCTTTTATCCCTTGAGAAACAGTAACTTTAAAAAAACTAAAATATGGCCGGGCATGGAGGCACATGTCTGTAATCCCAGACCTTTGGGAGGCCAAGGAAGGAGGATTGCTTGAAGCTAAGAGTTTGAGACCAGCCTGGGTAACATAGTTAGACCCCGTCTGTAGAACAAATTGTATAAATTAAGTAAATAAACTAAAATATAATCATGCAGAATGTCAAAAGGAATATCCATTGCATTCAAATTTGGCATACTTGTCTTCCATAGATGAATATATTCTGTTTTTTCAGGTTTTAAGAAGAAGCAGTGATGAAGAAAAAGTTCTTTGCTTGGTCCGGCAGCGTACAGGCCACCACTGTCCAACTGCTGTGATGGTGGTGCTCATCATGGTGTGGGATGGCATCCCTCTTCCAATGGCTGACAGGTTATACACAGAGCTCACAGAGAATCTAAAGTCATACAATGGGCACCCTACCGACAGAAGATGCACCCTCAATGAAAAGTAATTAAATCTGTTGTATATTGCCTTGCCATTCAGATCTCTATTACATAATGGTAAAATGTTATTTAGCTACCAACTATGTATATTATATGAGAGAATAGGATTTGAGTATTGTGGAATTAAAAAAATGAACATTTCTGTACAGAGAGGGTATTTTATAGTGAGTTAAGGTCAGTTTAAATCATTCTCCTTTAGAATGTTACTTCACTGTGACCGGGTGCAGTGGCTCACGCCTGTAATCCCAGAACTTTGGGAGGCCGAGGCAGGAGGATCATGAGGTCAGGAGATCAAGGCCATCCTGGCTAACACAGTGGAACCCTGTCTCTACTAAAAATACAAAAAATTAGCCAGGTGAGGTGGTGGGTGCCTGTAGTCCCAGCTACTTGCGAGGCTGAGTCAGGAGAATGGCGTGAACCTGGTAGGCAGAGCTTGCAGTGAGTCGAGATCGTGCCACTGCACTCCAGCCTGGGCGACAGAGCAAGACTCTGTCTCGAAACAAAAAAGGAAAGAATATTATTTCATTGCTTCCCTTTTTGGGAAGAGTCTGGAGGAAAGGGATTTTGACTTAAAAGAATGGTCTTCCACAGGAGTGTCATATCATTTTGCATTTCCTCTATTCAATGTAAGAGAGTATCTGTTTTTCTGTAGTCTTACCAATGATTATGTTGGCAAATGTGAGTCTTTGCCTATTAAGAGAAATGACATCAGGGTGATTTTGACTTGAATTTCTCTTATGAATTAGAGTGTTTTTTTCATATGATTAAGAACCATTTGGCTTTTTGTTAGTTTGTTTTAACCACCTGTTAAATAACCTAGCCCATTTTTGCAGGGAATTCTTCCATTTATCTATTTTCTCTCTACTCTGTGATATAATTTGCAAATATTTTTCTCAGTTTGTGTTTTTCCTTTGACTATGTTATCTCCCGCAAAAGGTTTTGTTTTTAATGCAATCAAACATACCCATCTTTTTTCTTATTTGGGTCTGGATCTCGAGTGGTATTTAGGCATTTTTTTTGTGACTTTAAGCAAAGCAACATATAATGAAACCAATATTTTTCTCATCAATATTGTAGCAATATTGAGCGATATTTGGGGAACTGATATATGTGGTTTCACTTATAATCACGGTTTCCAACAGCATATTGATATCAAGTGAGAAATGACTATACTTATTTAAAATATAAATTTTTGAAATTTAAATCTCTCATACATTTCATGAATCACCAGTGAATAGTTGTAAGAGGAGATAAGTTTTGTTGTTCTTGTTGTTCTGTTTTTTTGAGTCAGAGTCTTGCTGTCACCATGCTGGAGTGCAGTGGTGCAATCTCGGCTCACTGCAACGTCTGCCTCCCGGGTTCAAGTGATTCTCCTGCCTCAGCCTCCTGAGTAGCTGGGACTACAGGCGTGCGCTTTGGGAGGCCGACAAGGGAGGATCACTTGAGGCCAAGAGTTCAAAAGCCAGACCAGGCAACATAGTAAGACTCCATCTGTACAAAGTATTTTTTAAAAAACACTGTTTGGGAATGGTGGCACATGTCTGTAGTCCTAGGTAATTAGGAGGCTGAGGTAGAAAGGTAGCTGTTGCCCAGGAATTTGAGGCTGCAGTGAGCTATGATGATGCCACTGAACTCCAACCTGAGCAACATGGCAAGACCTTGTCTCTTTAAAAAAAAAAATGAGAGGCCGGGCGCGGTGGCTCAAGCCTGTAATCCCAGCACTTTGGGAGGCCGAGACGGGCGGATCACGAGGTCACGAGATCGAGACCATCCTGGCTAACACTGTGAAACCCCGTCTCTACTAAAAAATACAAAAAACTAGCCAGGCGTGGTGGCGGGCGCCTGTAGTCCCAGCTACTCCGGAGGCTGAGGCAGGAGAATGGCGTAAACCCGGGAGGCCTAAACCCGGGAGGCGGAGCTTGCAGTGAGCCGAGATCCGGCCACTGCACTCCAGCCTGGGCAACTGAGCAAGACTCCGTCTCAAAAAAAAAAAAAAAAATGAAAGAGAGAGATTGAACTTCATGGGCCTGATGTAGTGGCTCATGCCTGATCAAAGCAGGAGGATTTTTTAAAACCAGGAGTTGAGAACCTATCCCTACACAGCATTTTTAAAACCAGGCATAGGGGTGTATGCCTGTGTTCCTGGCTACTTTGAAAGCTGAGGAGGGAGGATGGCTTGAGGCCAGGAGTTTGCCATTAAAGTAAGCTATGATTTTGCCAGTGCACTTGAAAGAGCACGACTAAGTCTTCCCCCAACCCACCCCCCCAAAAAAACAGTTCACAAATACAGAAAGATGTAAGAATACTCCAGTGAAATCTTTTTTTTGAGATGGAGTCTCACTCTGTTGTCCAGGTTCAGTTGGAGTGACACAATCTCGGCTCACTGCAAGCTCTGCCTCCCAGGTTCATGCCATTCTCCTATCTCAGCCTCCCAAGTATAACTGGGACTACAAGCGCCCGCCACCATGCCTGGCTAATTTTTGTATTTTTAGTAGACACGGGATTTCACCATGTTAGCCAGGATGGTCTTGATCTCCTGACCTTGTGATTCGCCCGACTCAGGCTCCCAAAGTGGTGGGATTACAGGTGCTAGCCACTGCGTCCAGCCCAGTGAACTCTTTTTTTTTTTTTTTTGAGTCAGATTCTCACATTGTAGCCCGGACTGGAGTGCAGTGGTACAATCCTGGCTCACTGCAACCTCCGCCTCCTGGATTCAAGCAATTTTCCTGCCTCAGCCTCCCAAGTACCTGGGATTACAGGCGCCAGCTACCATGTCCAGCTAATTTTTTATTTTATTTAATTAATTAATTAGTTTATTTATTTATTTATTTTTGTATTTTTGTATTTTTAGTAGAGATGGGGTTTCACTATGCTGGCCAGGCTGGTCTCGAACTCTTGACCTCATTATCCACCCACCTCAGCCTCCGAAAGTGCTGGGATTACAGGCCTGAGCCACCGCACCTGGCCCGGTGAACTCTTATATACCCTTACTTACATTCCACAACTGTTAACATTATGTTACATTTGTTTATGTACACATATAAACACGTTACTGTTGTTGACTTATTTCTTAATCATTTGAAAGCTAGATGTAGACTTTGTCTTTTCCCCTAAATAATACTTGAATGTATTTATCCTAAAAATGAGGATATAGTTCTCTTGTATATTCCTATATAATGATCAAATTCAGGAAATTTAAATTTGATAAAATACTGTGATCTCATCTTAGTTCATATTCAAGTATCATCCATTTCCCAATAATTTTCCCCTGTCCATGATTCAATGCATTTAGTTATTTTGTCCTTTTGCTCCCTTAATCCTTTTTGTTTTCTCAGTTTTTGTCTTTCATGACATTGAAATTTTTGAAGCAAAAAGGCTAATTCTGTAGACTGTTAATCAATTTGGTTTATCTGTTTCTTCTTGACTCAAGTCAGGCTATGAAATACAACCTATAGCCAAAGATGGCTGAAACGAAAAAAAAAAATTTTTTTAAATGAAATGTAACCTGGACTATTACACTGAGTGCAATTTGTCCCACTATTGGTGTTGTTGACCATTTAAAATAATCTGAGGATGCTCTTTTAGATCTCACAACTTATCATATTTCCTCTGTGTTTTATTTTTAAAATAGTAGTACATAGTAAAACAACATTTTTCTCTCCTCCCATGTCTTTTTCAATGATATGAATAAATATCTTTCTATTTGGTTGACAACTTTAATTTTATTCTATTCAAAATTTTTTAACCATTCCATTTGCATCTCATTTAGTGAATTTCATTGTAGTCTTT